CGTCAAAGCTCTTGAAGTGGCCGCTGAGAGAGCCCTGTAAGGTGCGTCCAGACTCCTTCACCTGTGTCTCAAACTCTCTTCTGCTCAGATTCAGGAGATTCTCCTCCATTCCGGACGTGCAGCAGGTGTAACCCTGAGGACAGACCCGCAGGTGCTCACCTGAGAGAGACACAAGTAACAACATCATCAGAAGTGCATTTAACTTTCTCCATCCATCCATTCATTCATCATATAACCCATAATATATCAGTGGCTTGAGTCCCTGCCCCTTTAATCGCTATTAGTACATTTGCAGTGCCGCCCCCCGGAATGCGATTTCATCCCTCAAATAAGATTTTACATGGCCTCAAAAATACAGTAAAAACAGTAATATTGGAAAAAATATTATTACAATTTCAAATAACTGTTTAAATCCATTTTAAAATGCAATGTATTCCCATGATCCTTCAGAAATCATTATAATATGCTGATTTGCCGCTCAAGAAACATTTTTGATTAAATTGTGCTAGATTTTTTTCAGGATTGTTTGATGAATAGAAAGTTCAAAATTCAAAAAGAAAAATAAATTTGATATATATATATATGTATATATATATATAATTATATATTATTGCTGTCAATCGATTAAAAAAATACTAATTAATCACACATTTTTCTGTTATGAATGCACCTAACAAAGTTTTTAATATATTTTTATATTGTGATACCGGTAATTTCACATTTAATATCCAAATGAATGTAGTAATAACATACAATTATTTTATGTGTTAGTATATATTTGATCTAACAGGAAATATCCAGAAATTGAATGAACCTGACGTACATTAAACTTTATTTAACTCATTTAAGACTGCTTAGGATACGCATTTTGGTGTTTTTGTCCATTCAAATGCATAAGAGAACTCAATATGATCTGAATGTGTCTGTGACTGACAACTGAACATCACAGCACGGTTATATAATGGAGTACAAATGATTTTTATGATGGGAAGCAGGGGGCTGAACAGTAATTGAAAGTTTCCACTCAATCGACTGGTGTTGTTCACCCCTGTGTTATTGTTTTATAGAAGTGATGACCTGCTCAGTCGATATAAAAACTCTCTCTCTGTCCTTTCCAGTTTTCAATTTTCAATGTTCTCTATTAACAGTTTGCAGCACAGTTGCATACAAAAAAAAAAAAGCAAAAAGTGCTAAATAAATGTTATAATAAAATTAAAAGTTAAGAATTATTATTAATTATTATTAATGTATTTATTTTTTTATTAGCAGTACAATTATTATTATTCATAGTATGTTATTAACAACAATAAAACAAATAATAATACACTTTATTGTTATATTGCTAACTGTAAAAAAAAAAATCCATTAAAATTACAGGAAAAAATTGGCAGCTATGGTTACCAGAGTTTTCCTGTTAAAAATACGGTAGCAACATTTTAGGTTTTACAGACTTTTAACCGTATATACTTTTACAGCAATAAACCGTATTTCATTATCTATTATAATGTTAATCTACTGACCTTTTGAAGTATTAATATCTGTTTTGTTCCATTGTAATACACTGACAGCCAACAATCACAGCAGTGATGAGAGTCAAATGGTCAATCAAAACTCATCATAAGCAGCTCTTCCACAAGAAAGAGTACACTAATATATAGAAGCTGCACAGTGTCATTCACACAAACATTAAACACCATCATGGTAACATGTTGAAATTTAAAAAATGCAATAAGCATTAATTTAACAACATTAAATGTAACATAAAACCCTAATGTACATAATTAGAAAAAAACTAAGAAAATTATGAAGAAACAGTTATTTTAAAAAAAATACATTAAATGTGAAGTGTCACGGAGGGAATTGTGGGAATGTCAATTCACATTTTTTCACTGTAAATTATACAATGACTTGTTCTTTTTCACTTTCAAAAACTGTAAATTTAACTGTATTTTACAGTAAAATTACATTAAATATACCATTATATATATCACAGTTATTTACCGTATATAGTAAGGAAACTTTCTGTTAACCAATTAACAGTTTTTCACTGTAGCATTTTTACAGTCTTTTACCGTTAAAATCACAATCATTTTTTAAAAATACATTCTTGGAAAACCAATTATTATTATTCCCTCTGATTAAGCTCTCGTGGATCAGTCAAATGCTTGTGCCTGCAGTCCTTTCATTAGTATTCTGATGTTTTAACATTTCTATCAATTAGAAAGCCACACCATTCTTATTTATTGCCATCTTGGGCCATAAAGATGTGTGTATTTGTGTGTTAGTGTGTCTATCTTGTGTGGTATGTTAGTGTCAGATAAAGCAAGTGTCTACCTGTGACTTGTGTATCTGAGCACGTGTGTGTTTGTCAGCGGGTGAGAGTGCACACTGTCAGAGACAGGATTTTTTTTCTAAAGAGCTGGGCTGTCAGCCATTTCTATCCTGAGCCTATTCTCCAATCCAAGGACAGAGGAAGAGAGAGGTTTATTTCCCACTCTCA